ATCCTTCCTTATTAGCTCAAAAACTGGAACTTTCATCACAGGGTAGGATGTTAGCCATGACTGAAAGAACAGACCCTGACGAGGGCGGTCGATTCGTTTTGCGAAGCGTTTGTAAACGGGGCTTGTTCGCACATCTTAACTCGTACCCGCGCACACGTCGCGTACAGGGCTTATCAAACGCAGTGTCGCTTGCATTAGGATAGCCACTCCCGCGCTGAACTCTGCATCTCTCTCGCGAATATGTTCTCTGATCACTTTCCCAGGGCGAGAGTGGGAAAGGCGGAAGAGAGATGTTCGCGGAAGAGACGCAGAGTCCAGCGCGGGAGTGGAGATGCTAATGAGCGACACTGCGTTTGATAAGCCCTGTACAGGGCTTTACAACCTGAGTGTCCCACCCGCCCCGCTAGGACGCCACGCTTAGGTCCGCGCAGCGTTCGTGGCGCTGGCTGCGCGTCGACTGAAGCTTGGCGAAATCCGGGCGATACGCAGCAAACGCCGCGCGCGGCCTGAGCGAGGCGGCCGCGTTGGAGGAGCCGCGCAAGCGAAACTTGCGACTCTCAGGTTGAAAAGCCCTGTACGTGGGTGAGCGACTTCTAATCTCGGATCAGTTTTTATATCGATGCCAGTGACGTTTTTAACGCATTACACGAAACGAGCTGTGTTTTTCTTAAACCTGCTTCAAGTCTGAACTTGGGTACAACCGGGCACAAGATTGTGAACTAAATCATTAAATCTTCAGTGGGGGCCATTGAAACCGTTACAAGGAAACATTGAAACTATCATTCGTTGCTCGACACTGCGAGCACGATGCAGCCGTACGGCTCGATCCGGCAACCTTCGAACGCTGTGCTGCAGTCGCGCAGGATCAGCATAAGGCTTGGTACATACCTGATGATGAGTGGCTATAGCTGACGATGCGTCGCTGCTAGCAGCAACGCTTTTTATGCATATCGATTGCAGCCAGGCGACGCTGCTGCTCCTAGCTGCTGCAGCCATCGCGAAACAGACCCGCTATAGCTAGCGATGCTGCGCTGCTTCTAGCTGCCCCCTGCTGCTCCCAGCTGCTCGTTGCTGCTCCTCGCTGCTACGCGATATGAAGCTCACTTTTTGTGAGCTTTTCTCAGCTGCTCCATGCTGCTATCAGCTGATTTCGCTCGGATTTGCTTCTATTTAGCATTTTTTTTTGCGTTTTCAAAGAATTTCCAGAGCATTTGTTGCGATAAGTGAACTATGACATTTTGCGAGACTATTAAAAGGACAAACGCATAGGTGAACAAATCAATCCGAACGAGATAAACTCTACAAGACCTCTCGAGTCAAAATAGATTAGGAATAGAGTACGATCAGCTAGAGGCAGATATTTATCAAGGAAGATAGTGGGATGTCGCTAGCCCACTTGCGCAATACGGCAGGGAATAGACCTAGTTTAATTGTTGCCTCGAGCACACGTAAGGGTCATGTGTGACAATCAAATCAACATCTGTCAAACTGTCTCAATTTCTTTAGTGAATGCAGCATTTGTGCGTGTGCTTATTACAAACAAAACTTTATAGTGATAGTAGTGTGTTACATTTCATAATTCATGGATTCCAGCGATGAGATTCATGAACTCATTTCTCCGTTAATCTAAATCAGCTGGGAGGGCCGATAATACTTTGCTGCTGCACCTAAAATGCACCCATGCGCAGCAGCTTCAAGCAGGTAGAAGCAGCGGAGACAGCAGCGATTCGCCAATACCCGCTATACCTCCATCGTCAGGTATGTATGAAGCCTAACGGAGTGGAGGAAGAAATTTCGTCATTGGAGGCATCGTTCGGGCAAGATTTTGAACAAAACTTTTTTTGCTTACCTGGGCTTCTTCTTCCCGCTGATTCCGAAAAGGCAGCTTGAAGAGTACGAAAATGTCGGGAGACTGTTTCAGAAGCTGTTGATTTTGAATATGGACGCTTGCCGCCGAGGTCAAGACGCGGAGTGGTACCCTACGACTTAACTGTGTGCTACCTACGTACCCTACGACTTGTGTGCGATATACGTACTCTGGCTATTGACTGAAGGGGCGGGCAGGTCGCCGGGGCGTCCCGGTCGCCGCTTCTGAAGCGTTTTCTCACTTAGAAGCAAAGTGGTGCAATACCACATGGAAAGAGCTTTATCAGGTTGGGAGCCCTGTATGCTAAAATTTCATATCCGACCGGACGCTACCTTTGAGCGCGGCGGCATCCGCGGACTTGTGGTCGTCACATGGACGCAACAGCATATGCAAAAGTTGGTAATTACTCAGATAGTTGCGAGCGCATTTACCGTAAACGAGCTTGCGGCGCACGCGCGTTTATGGTCAATGCGGCAAAGCGCGTGCCTTATTTGTGGGCGTGTCCGGCACTACGCCAAACGCGTGCCATCCTAGACATTTGGTGCATGCGGCGCGCGTATTAATGGCCAACACCGCAACCCGCGCGCTACGTTTATGTTCGATCTCGCCACCCGCGCGCCTAATTTTGTAGCACGCCGCACGCGTGCCTTTATACTCTACCCGTGCAGCCCGCGCGCCTGCAGTTATCACATGCTGTAAGCGCAAGGGATACCCGCGCAGTGTACGACGCAGTGGTCAGGCTACCTCATCATTCAAGAGGTTAGATATTACGTCGTAGTGTATAAATAGTCGCAGAAGTGGAAGTTGTTTTTTGCTTCCAAGCGTTAGCCCTCGGTAGCTCTGCAAATGGATGCTGGATCTGAATTTTTGGATTCAAATACGAATTCATATTTTTGGCGTATGAAGAGTGGAATTCATTATCAAGACTTGTGGTATACAGCGCAATGAAAAAAAAAAACTGAAGCCATCCGCGGGCCAGCACCAGCGGCGCGGCATCCAGTGTCCCGCCACCCGCGCACTGGGTGTTGCGCCACCGTGTGACTGCGCGCGCGCTGCCCGCTCCAACTGTCTGAGTAGAAGCGTCTATCCGCGGAAGTTGTTCTTCTCCTTGAGCTTAGCCTAACAAGGAAAGGATGGTCAATTGAAGTGGCCTTTTTGGATGAGGTACATGCCGCTCTGAAGGACATAAAATGCTGAATCTGCCTTCCTTATCTGATGCGGGTTTCTGGGCGAGGAGTACTGAGAGTTTTTGAGAACAAATATCGAATGCGCATTTAGGATAAATAGTGGTAACATATTCCTAGGGTTTCTAGTGGAATAGTGATGATTGCCGGGCGGTGAATATTCATGGCTAAATATACACTTTTGTCGCTGCCTCATTCAAACGGGAAAGTCAACGACAAATTTTGCATTGTTCATGCTTTCATTTTCTCGCTCGTAACTCCTCTTCCAGAAGACCGCAGCAGATAAATAAGGTAGATTTGGAATCAGTGATCTTTCTTCGAAGTGGGTGCATCTGATCTTGAAAGGCCACTTCGATCAACCTACCTTCCTTTGTAAGATGCAAAACTACAGGAGTCAAGTTCTTCGTGCCAGGACATGCCATTAAACTCTCGTCCGAGCCATTTTCTAGAAGGTGCGAGAACGCCCTGTTTTCACCTCAAGGTAAAGCCCGTAATCTGCTTCAAAGGCTCGATAAATTTAAACAAATTGAATTTGGTTTAAAACTCCCCCCCCCCCCCAAGATACGAAAATTAGGGCAAGTCCGCGCACAGCACCCTCGCTAGCGAGAAAATTGCCCATCAACCTTGCGCGCAAGCCAGTTTTATACACGAAAAGGCTCAGCTGCAAATAAGCTCTAGTAGAAAATGTGGGACGAGACGGGGGGCAGCCAACATGAACGATAGTTTGTGCCAGCCATGTGCGTTGCGTAGGTCAAATATTTTTCAGATTCTATACGCTTCGATGACATTTTGGAATTTGGAAAAAACGCTGGAAGCTTAACAGGCCCTATTCTTTACTTTTCAATACCATTTTCAATCCAGTCAAGAGCATATCGCTTCAAAAAACAAGACTTCATGCGCGGTATATTGACAACCGCAGGAGTACAGTATGCTTATTTCCAGCTATCGTTCATCTTGGAACACACCCGGACGAGACTTATTATTCTCCTGTTCAAGCACGAGTTCCTGACTAGGTCACTCACCGAGATCGGTTACACCAGCGACGCCAGCACAATCTGGCGTAAAACCTAGGAACTCTCTACCTTGGCAGACACTTCCTTCAACGGATGATTCGGAGAATCTTGGACTTTCGTTTTCTCTTTTTACGGGGGTTCCTTCATGTTTCTGACCCAGGAAATGCTAGTGGGAGAGAGTTAAAAACAAGAACCGATTTCTGAGAAGGCCTTTATTGTGAAGATAAATATTTGGACACATAGCTTGCCAAGGTTAGAGAGCTGAGATCTAGCAGGATCTCCTTAGCTGTGCAGCATGCGCATTTTGGCGCTTAACACGTTAACGACAAGACGACCCACCGATGGGTCGTACATGTCCTGCCATTTCGGACAATACGACCCACCGCTAGGTCGTACGCTTTCTGAAGTTTTTGATTTTGCTAGTTGACCGTGAAATTTTTTAGGTAAACCGAGCAAATTTCTGTATACACCTCTTGGAGTACTTTCCAAAAGATTAACACTTCAAACCGCAAGACGCACCAGTGATCTGAAAATATTACGCAAACTCAATATTGCGAAATATGTTCTGGTCCAAAATGGTAGTCATCGAGAAATCAGCCCTATCGTGAATTCTTAAAGGGGAAATTCGTAACAATGTGAGTGGAACGGGTAAAGGGAGCATGGTTTCCAGTAGATTTTGTCGGCTACTAGTTGTACTGAGATGAGGAATTGGCCTATATGTTCAGGGAGAATCTTACTTTTTGTCGACAGGAGTCCATGTCAAGCCGCTGCCTCTAGCTGAAAGCATTGTGCGCGACAGCAATTTTGCAAGGCTCCGCAGCGATGCGGCGGAGTTTTCGCGTCCAGAACAAATAAAGTGCGGGTTATACATCTGAAAAGGCATTCTTTTTCATGTGCAGGAATGTTTGTCCACTATGCAGAACTCTTCTTGTTCAGGTTTTGGCATTATTCTGGAAAGTTACTGAAGGAGGTGTTGTACGATTCACCAAATGAGGAACTGTGGGAGGTAAACTAGCGCAGCCCTTTCCAAAGTGTGGCTGTAGTTGCTCGTGACTGAGATTCGAAGGGGTTCAGATCGCTAAAGTATCCGAGCTCGTGGTGCTGCGGGGAGTGTGCCTAGCCTATCTTTTGACATAGTTTTTTGCGTTGCCGATAACATGTGCTTTTTAATAATGGCAACGCTTGCTTTGTGGCCATTTACGCGTAAGTCGCTCGAAAAGTGAGTGTCATTCAGTAGGGTGGCATTTTTGGTTGTCCACGCAAGAGCAGACTGTCGGCAGTATATCGCCTTTTGCCCTATCAACCATCAAAATTACCAGACCGTCTACAAAGGGAGGAGCAAACAGCCTTTTCATTTATTTTCGGAAAGTGAAAAGTTGCAGGACGGCTGGTCAAATTTATCTTACCAGAAGTTCTTTCATTAAACCATTTTTTGACTTTAAGTCTTCTGTGTGAGCAATACTTCAAAGTCAAGACTATTGTTCAATCAGGCTGTGTCACACTTCCAAGAAAAAGCATCTTTCCCTATTCTATTTGAAAATACTTTCCAAAACGGCCAAAACGGCGGAGTTTGTTTCTCTACCGTTAAGTGCGATGAGCACTAAAAATATATATTTTTGCAGATAAACCCGACGTCGACTTCACGGCAAAGGAACTCTTTTTGCAATGTCTTTTGTGGGTACAAAATGGACGAAAGCGAGTTTGTCATGGTTACACCTAGAAATCACAGTTTGTGAACTGTTATTTTTGTCATGGTTACACCCAGAAATCACATTTGTGAATTGTGATTTTTGGGGTGTAACCATGACGAGTGCGGAGGCCGTCGTACAGATACTGAAAGCAACAAGCCCATAGTTTGTGGCTTTGATCAAACTCCTTGAGAGTGTTACCCTTTAACATATAAAACAAGTTGTGCTTGACATCTGGTAACTGTACACAAGTGAAGTGCTCGTAAAACCTGGGAAGTCATTTTGAAACCGCATAACATTAACATCAGGCTGCGCGACTTGTCTTTAAAAAAAAGCGAAATGCAGCTTTGTGTAGACTAGCGACCTTACGGATCGCTAGCAAGTGGGTCGGGGCAGATACAGTATAAAGGCTTAGCTGTGACTATAAATATTACAGTATTTTCTGTCGCTTGAAAATCGAGTTTTGTGGTTTAAAAGCGTTCCAAGCCTATGTTGAGGTTGGAGTCTGTCCGTCAAAATCAGCGATTACGCAGAGTTTACGAAAGCGCTCTTCATCTCATCTACCCAAAAGGGTCAGTAGATTCCATGATTATCATTTGGAATGAACAAGAGCTTGAAAACTCTTTAAAGCAGTTGTTTGTTGAAGGAGATTGACTTTTAATGCTTTTAAAAGCAAGAAATGCAGCGATTGCTTCTATTTGAGTAGGAAGACAGGCCGTAAGTGTCGCAAATGTTTCATATTTTGGGATGTAATTGTACAAAAAAATTTGAGAGTCAACGAATGCGATAGTGATTAGAAAAACCAGGTGGCTGTATAATTTTGTCCAGCTTTCAAAAAGGGCTTTTTCGATTTTTTTCGTTTTTCTCCGTTCAAACTCAACAAGGCTGGAAGCCGTTTTGAGGGGTTATGGTAGGTTGACATGCGCACAATACAGCAAAGTTTCAGACAGATTCATTGACAAGAACAAAATTGCGACGATTTCTAGAGTGGCTGTATAATTATGTCCAGCACTGTATTAAAAAAAACCAACTATGATTCCTACAAAAACAACGAAATCAAGTATTAAATGACAGCGTATTCTCAAATTGGCGTACGTGCCACTTTAGGACCTTCAATTTTGAGAACTACCTCAAACGTACAAAAATCTGTTTCCCTGCCCGATCGGGTTGCCCTACGTGCCGCTTATAGACCGATAGTAACTATTCAAAAAGAAAGTTTATGCCCTATATGCCGCTTGAAAGCCGTATATATAAGAAAAACCAAATTTACGACTCTACAGAAAGAAAACAACGAAATCAAGTATTTACAGCGTATTCTCAAACTGCCGTACATGCTACTTTTGGACTTTCAATTCTGAGAACTGCCTAAAACGCACAATCTGTTTCCCTGTCCGATGGAATTGCCCTAGGTGTCGCTTGCACACCGATACTAGTTGAAAGCACCACCGGGACCCAGTTACACAAGCAAAAGCAAGGCTGTTGTTAGATAAACGCTTCCAAAAGTACCAGCGAGGCCAATTTACTCACGCACTCTCTTGTCTATACGCGGAAGCAAGATAATCCTAAAGTAACTGTTCTTAGAGCATTTTTACGAAGAGTTGAGAACATTCATATCATTCATTCTAGGACTAGGAGACGCGAGACCGCTTTGCACACATTGTCTAAACAAGCTTAATCGTTTACTTAGCAGGTTCATACTCGTCATTTATCTCGCCCACGTTCATTCACTCTTTGGAAACAGGGAAGAACAAACTCAAACATGTTAAGACAATGTCCGCAATGCGGTCACGCGTCTCCTAGTCGTAGAGTAGATGATAGATGAATTTAGCTCAAGTCACGCTGTTAGGCTTGGCATTATTTTAAAAGCAACTAAAAGGAGTACAGCATGTTTGAAAGACACATTGTGCGATAACAAGCTTGAAAAAAAAAGCAGGTACAAATAACACACCCGGACACTGGCGTCCCAGTCTCAAAATCATTGACACTCATGATTGCCTTTCGAAATACGTGTGACCCTTTTACGAAAATATGCTTGGTCACTCGTTATGAAACTTGGCAGTGTTCCAAAACGCATGCCACTTGACAGCAATCCAAGAACGCATCTGTACATTTCATCATAATTTCTCCGTCTGCTGTCTCCTCGTTTGCAATGTTCGACGGATCAGGGGTGGTCAAGTGGTAAACAGGAAATCGTTATATCTTACGTAGTGATCCGTGAGTATGGTGCACAGATATTTTTGAGTAAACACGCTTTCGTTTTTTTCTGAGCTTACAGCGACAACGCAAAAGAGTTCCAGCGCGCCTTCCTCTCTCCCAGTGTGTCGCGAAACTTTCGAGAGACCGAAATGAGTGGTAAAATAGTGCAAGTGACTTTTTACTCGTAAATAATCAAAGTTTTTTCTTTTCAAGTTCCTGCCACGCTTCCTTTAAAAATTTTGGGGTTATAGGCCAAGTGAAAGGGTAGGTGATCATCTCGAATTTTTTTTAAAGGGCCGGCTAAGGCCTCTTTTTATAAGGAAAAATCTGTCGCCCTCTCGTAAGAAATGCTTTGGAGTGCCACTGCTGATTCCATATATCAGCTTTTCGCTTCACCGTAATCTTTAGCTCAAAAGTAACGACAAGTATGGGTTGTTTCACACTGCAGACGCTGCAGCAGCTCGATCGTTCGATTCTGTTGCCTGCCCCAATGGGTGCGCAGTGTTACCCAGGCGCCGCCTGGTGCCGCAGCCAGCCGCCAGAGCTGGCACTAACGCCGCGGCTGAGCTACAGTAAGCGCTTTCGTCGTTTACAACCTCTCGATGAGAGATTTTTGCAGCAGCCTCGCACCTCATCGCGCTGAGGTGCGATATTTCCCTCAGAGGTCGCGCGACTGCCACAAATTGTATATCGATCAGGACGGCAGAAAAATTGTAGTTTATTAGTATTTCGCAATAAAAAAATAAAAAAAATAAGCAAAAACAAAAAAATAAAAAAATGAATTAATCGCATGAATAAGACTGGATTGAGAGTCCAATAATGAAACAAATAACCGAAAAAAATTCAGTAAAGAAGGAAACTGGACATATTCAATCTTCAATAGAACAAATTTAGAAATGGAATAAGTTCATCAAAATATAAAATTTTAAAATTTTATTTGAAGGGCTGTTTGAAAGGAGGCGTTCTTTTTCCTTGGAAACCGCGCAATTTCCTAGGAAATCAGTGTTTATTGGAATTTTAAGAAGATTCCAAAAAACAGTTCAAATACCTACATTTCCATGCCGATTTCAAAGTCGTGAAGACGGTTTTTTTGAATGGTTTCCACTTTTTGATTTCTGGCAGCACTAAAATTGCAAGATTTTTTGGACTACAACTAAATTCGGAATCTCCAAAAAAACCTCAAAAACCCTAAATATTCTTCATATTTTTCTGATCTAAAGGTCACGACGAATTGTGGAAAAACTCAGTATTCAGTTATTTTTTTTATGAACTCTTCCCTTAATGTAACTATGTTTTTTGTTGTTGAAGAGAATTGAATATGTCCAGTTTTCTTCTTTACTGATTTTTTGGATTATTTGTTTATTGGACTCTTAATCCAGTCTTATTCATGCAATTATTTCATTTTTTATTTTTTTATTTTGCTTATTTCTTGCTGCAAAATACTAATAAACTACAATTTTTCTGCCGTCCTGATCGATATACAATTTGTGGCAGTCGCGCGACCTCTGAGGGAAATCTCGCACCTCAGCGCGATAAGGTGCGAAGCTGCTGCGAAAATCTCTCATCGAGAGGTTGTGGACGACGAAAGCGCGCTTACGGTAGCTCAGCCGCGGCGTTGGTGCCAGCTCTGGCGGCTGGCTGCAGCACCAGGCGGCTACCTGGGTAACACTTGCACGCCTCCCCTGCCCCAATACAACTGCAGTTGCTGCAGCGACCGCAGTATGAAACAGCTTTGTACAATAGTAGCGGTTTCTCACTAATCATCAAAAATGGTTACACCATCTAAAGTGTTCTACAGACAGTACAAAATTAACTAAAAACAGCGGGTTTGAATCCTATTGAAAGCTTCGGAATGTTTTCGAATTTTTCGAATGGCGGCTGGTTGAAAATGACGACTTTATGCTGGAAGTCCTTACCGTAAATTGCAGTATGAAGAGAGATAAATGACTTGTTTTGTGCTGTAAATCTAAGGTGAAACAAGCCTTTTTATAAGCTACCTGAAGACCCGCGGAAGCTTTTTTGACAAGCAAAAACCAGCGATGAAACTTCTGATACTTTTTGGACACCCTTTGAATACAACTATGCAAATTTTAGAACTTTGAGTGACAGCAAGTGAATTGGATGTTTTTCTATGGTTCTGCAGTTTTGGCCATCACTTCATGGCAGCAAAGAGCGGGTGCCGTAGACGAAATATTTGAGATAGCTATCACATTCAAACGGACCAATGGCTTTCGATCATTATTTTATGCTTTTCAAATTTCGCTAACCCGGATTCTCAGTCACGGTCCGGTCACTGTACTGCACCCTGAGATTGCGTAGTTGTCCGTTTTCGCGAAATTCAAATCTCGCCTCACGCAGCACCATTTTTCTGCAGCAACGATTAGTACGTAGAAGGTATCATCGGTTCGTTGACCACAAGGACTGGACATTACTGCGGAGCACGCGCCGCGAATAAAACGCTTGTTCCTTACGATTTCGCCATAGTACAAGTCGTGCTCTCGCAACATTTCAGTTTCGCCGCGCGTGGTGCGCGACGTTTGAGCAATCTGTGCGATCAACGAATCCTTGTTGCGTGCCTCTGCACCTTTTGAGCTGCCTTTGCGCGTGGTTTTAAAGGCAGCGTCCAGGCAAATTTGGACATATGGGGATCTCACGTGGATAGTAGTTTTGGGGCCCTAACTAAGCCACTGCTCAAGCGGCAACTCAGGTAGTGCTCTAGCGGCTGAGATATTGCCCTCGAAACTGGACCCCAGGATCGTACTTAGCATGGATTCATGGCGCAACCCATCAGTTTCGGGTGGGTCTTCGCGCGAAGCAGATGGGTTGCGCCATGAATCCATGCGAATACGATCGCGGAGTCCAGTTTCGAGGGGAATTTCTCAGCCGTTAGAGCACTACCTGCGCTGCCGCTTGGGCACTGCCTTAGTTAGGGCTCCAAAAGTACTTTCCACGAAAAATCCGCATAGGTCCAGATCTGCCTGGACGCTGTCTATAAAGCATTTACGCCAACGTGGTGTGTGCCAGTGCGACAAGGACTTTGAAGCTCATTGCGTTGGTATCTAGGGAAAAGCCTCAAGGCACCTACTCTTTTCTGGTCTTCGTCATTCATGGAATTGATGAGAAACAACGTTGAGGTATGTTGTAGGATGCAGGTTATTTTGGGAAAATGCAGGAAATTGTGTCATACATGGTGCTTGCTGCTGTGGGCATTTGAATTTTGTTTACAAGGGCTCTGCGTGGTCGCGAAGGTCGATGAATTTGCGCCCAATGCTCATCCTTCAAAATTTTCCAGTTTTCTTCCTCCTATTGAACGCTTTTGTTCTATCAGATGTTAGCTTTCAATCGCCTGAATATATTCTGAGAAGATCGGGGTTGTTTAACTGGTTTGAGGCCTTGCATTTGCAACATATCCTGCGCATGCAAGTCGCAAATTCACCTACCTTCGCGATCACGGAGAGTCCTGTATTGTGAGGGCACGCGGGCAACTATATAAGCCCGAAAATGGCGAATCATACTGGTTTTAGGTGAAATTTCGACCGATGACGGGTTACAACAAATTTGAAGTCAAGGATTTGACTCCTGCAGAGATAAAGTCAGCTGGATTGCTCGACAAAAAGGTAGGAAGAAAATGCTTGTTTTGAACATCAAAGTTAGTATTCGTATTCAGACCGCAGGTGAATCGGGTCAGAAGGTGACAGTTGGGATCGCAAAGCCAGGGGTTGCCTACGTCCCTCCCCATCTTCGAAAAAGTAAGACAGTGCTTATTGATGTCCTGATATGCGTTTTAGTCCCTAACAAGAGAAGTTTAAACTTAGGTTAGCGTTTTGAGATGGGACCCATATATTTGATCAGCATCGAACGCTGATTTCAAATATGCTGTCCTTAGCTGTGGCACATTACTCTGAAGGGAGTTATGAGCTTTTTTGCGAAATTGGCTTACTATCCAACATGGGAAGGCTGGTAGATGGAAATCAGCGTAAAACCGTACTGGGATACTAAAATAATTTCACATTGAGTCCTTTGTCAGGCAAGAGACTTACGCAGTAAATTAACATCTAGATGATGATACCGTAATGGTAATAGGTCAAAGAGCATACTAATTTTGCACAGAATCAATAACTCGCTTTGAAATGCCGCAGCTAGGAACAACATATTTGGAGTCAGCGTCTGAAGCTGATTCCAACTTCAACTTTCTGCTCTGTAGAGAGTATCTTGGCAATTTTCTGTTTGCGGAGATTTTCAGCGAGCTAGACCATTCTGATCCACTCAATTCCGATATGGTACGGATTTCAAAAATAAAGTAGCGATTTCTGGCTCAAGAAGGGTCCACGCCTTGGGCACCCACTCACGATTGCAGTCGCCACTTAGGGAGTGCAGCAGTCGAAGTGGCCAACCGTAACAAGCTCATATTATTGGATGCAGCATACATGGATGACTCTAAACCTGTCTTCCTTATCTGCTGGATGCTTTGAGGACGAAGCTGCATGCCATTCACAGGGTGTCTCAAAAGTGAGCACACAGTATTCAATCGTCAGTGGCTCTCTCCTCATTAGGTCTTTTGCTTAGCTTTGCATGCCGTTCGATAGAGCTGACTCTTTATTAGCTTTGCAGTATGGAGCAAATCACTTATTTGTCTTCATTGTAGGATTATAGGAACTTTGAAGAAGAGTTTGGGGGAACGGTCAGGAGTCACGGTCGGCGCAAATTTTTCGCGAAGCGATGCCGCAAGCGATGTCAGCAAAACAGAAGCCTGCACTCCTGGCACAGTCTTACTTATGGCACGAGCCATGTATCTGCCCCCACCTCCCACCCCCCTAGACTGGCGCCGTGCCACTTTAACACCGGGCAGTTTTATGGGGTACAAAATTTAGACGCGACGTGTGCGGAGAAGCGGCGCGGCGCGCGGCGTGACTCCTGACATGGAGCCGAGCTGACTCTTTATTAGCTTTGCAGTATGGAGCAAATCACTTATTTGTCTTCATTGTAGGATTATAGGAACTTTGAAGAAGAGTTTGAGCCACCAATGGCTACGTATAGCACCAGAGTTGATACTTGAAGGCAGACGTCCAGTTTCAAAACCGAAACTTCTGGAATAGCTGCTCGTTTTCGAGATTTTTCGTGTTCTCCAAGTTGCATTTTCGGATTAGCGGGAAGGATAATCCAAGGAAGCAAAAAATTACATCCGAAACTTTGCCTCTAGCGTCGAAAACCCTCCAAGCTAAAATGAGCTACTGGTTATGACTATGATACTGGCAGTTTAACATGGAGCTTTTTTTGTTATTCCAGGGAACCAAACTTTTCAGTGTTTTTCCAAATATGATTGAACGATTCGAAACGCTCAAAGACTTGTAAGAAGTTTGTCTAATGAAATTAGCATGTTCACAAACACTGCTATACAACTTCCAAATTTTCTTTTTTCAAACGGCTTTTTTCACAGTGGTGTTGTATGCTGGAGGTTCTTACACTATTCCTGCAGTATTGAAGACGAATGAGTAATTCGCTTCAACTGCAAATCTAAGTTGAAGCCTTTGCTACTGAATGGTACTCGAAGGTAAGCAAAAGACTTTATGCGAGGAGAGTTATCAACGATCAATACATTGACGACTATGGCCTTTCACGGACCGGTCAACCTTTTTAGATAATCACGCATGTTTTTATCTACAATATACCTCTGTAGCGCTAGGGGCTGACAAAAACAGTGCAGGTTATATCTACATCCAGCACAAAATGAACTTCAAGTGGGTTTGACCGAAGATAGTAGCCATTCAAAGAAAATGAAGCCTTGACAACCATGAGGGTCAAGCCGTCGTCAATGTGTCCAAAAGTGTGTGCTTAGTGTGTACTTATGTTGAGACGCCCTGTATTGCAATAAAGAGTATGCAAAGTGCCATTGGGATACAGAGCCATGTTTAGATTAACCATACCCAAAGTTGCGCTAAAATGGCAATAAATGCCTAATTTTGCAACTTGATGTACATTTTTCCTGCATTAAAAGGGGACAACGTAACCAAAGAGAGGGAAAGCGACGAAATTTTTTGCTCGAATGGAGGTGCGGCGTTAGCCACGCACTCCGAGAACTTCTTTTGGACGCTCCCCAGAATTTTTGCGGCCCATAACCCCGAAATTTTAGAGTAAGGGCTGGCTGCAGCCAACCCGTGAAAATTTTTTTTGCAAGGCTAATTTGAATTCTTAAAAAAATTTCCAAAATCATTACGATTATTTATGAGTGTAAACAAGTCACTTGCATCTGACTCATGTAAGTAATTTTCAAGTTTTCGCAACCCATCCTCAGCGGCGGTATTTATCAATCTCCCACACCTGTTCGGGCCATTATTAACGAGTGCCTGGACAGGCGAGAGCACCATCCCATGATCTATGAAAGTGGGGCGCGTAGCCCAAACGAGCAGCAGGGCCTGAGATTGGGCACGATCGGGCACCTGCCGTGCCCGATATGGCCAAACTTGCCAGATCGGACCATATCTTTAAAAGACAGGAGCCCAATCACAATCTTGGCTTCGTATATCGCGGGCGTCAGTGCCTACGCCTATACGGGCTGTGACCTGTACAGGAACCCCTTCCCATATAAGAGATTGAGTGCCTCCCCCCCCCCCCCCCGGTCCATTAATGCGAGGTAGAGAACCGTAAATACCATTCTTTCCAGAAATATCGTTAGTGGTTGTGCTCGTACCTCCATATTTTCTTTTTGGAATACAATTATTTTTCACAGACCTCACTGCAGTTTTGAAGAAAAGCAAACGGAAAAATTCTACTGTGACGATCTATAGTCTATAATAAATGTAAGAATAGTAATGAATATATCAATTATTTGCTGCAACAATTGATTACATATAATTTGCGATATTTGTTTCTACTTTTGGGATCTATCACTTTTATAGCAAACTCTGTTTGCTTTATAGTTCTCAAATTTGCAGTGAGAAAAGACTCTGAAAAAAGAACAAGTTTGCAGGTATTTAGGTATACCACTAATTGTAAGAAATTCGAGAACTCTGAAAGAAGACACCTAAATACCAATTTGCACACCAATCGGACGTATGTTGCTACTGACATTGAGTTCGAAATTACTGAAATTCCGGTTCCATGCGTTCGCGGATGAGGGCATGGCTATTGTTTACACAATCAGCTTCACATATGGCCCTGATCTCAAGTGTTAATTAGCGTTGCCGACTACTCATAACCCATGACCATCTGTCAGGTTGCGCACGTCTTTTGGGTAGGCACATAAACTCCTCATGTTACCGATCAAAAAGAGTTGAAGAGCAAAGTGCAGAATATCTATCGTTTCTTCGAGCTTGACTCTTAGCAATATGAAATACTAGTTGACTTACCCGGCTCCGCCCGGCCCTGTCATTATTATATTCGTAATCAGCATGCTCGATTACCCCCTGTGCCAACTCCCAGCCCCGTAGCTCAAAATTTGCAAAAAATAGATAAAATCGATATCGATCGATGACGAAAAGTAGCCTATGACACCCGCCGGGGCCCGAAGTGTATATGTGCCAAGTTTGGTCCGGATCGGTTCAGAAATGAAATTTTCTATTCGGAACATACGTACAGACAGACAGACAGACATACAGACAGACAAACAGACATTCAGCTTTATATAGAAGGATTGCTCAACAACACCAAAATCTTCAGCTCTAATTAGAACACTGTTAAAACACTAGGGATAGCATGCAAGACGAGAGAAAACGCCGAAGGACCCTCATCCGCGCTTTCCTCGCTTTGTGTCTTGCAAGAACTCTGCTGCTAGGCCTTTTTTCTCTTAAAAACAGCGGGAGGTGTGGGGGCAGATAGACTAGAGGCCTTAAAGGCAGTGGCCCGGGAAAATTGCAGCTGCGCGCTTTCTGTTCCTCCTTGGCCTTCTGGATGCGTTTAGACCAGAGCTGTACATTAAAAGTCGAACAAGTGATTTTTATGGCGTTTTCCGGCCTTGATTGCTGAGGAGGCTGGAGAGGAGATTCCCGCAGCTGAGTCGCGATTGGCTGCCTTGGCCAATCAGCCAATTGCCGCCAAAATGAGTGGTTTTACGTCTCCTGCAGCCAGTCACTGTTTTTGGCGGGGATCTCTCCGCTCCAGCCTCCTCGCAATCTCCAAGGCCGGAAAACGCCGTAAAAAGCACTTTCTTTGATTTTCAAGCACAGCTTTTCAAACGCATTCAAAGGCCAAGGAGGAACGGAAAGCTCGCAGTTGCAACTTTCATGAGCCACTGCCTTTAAGTAACACTAGCTGGCATACCCGGCCCGCCCGGCCCTGTCTCTGCCGATGTCGGCAATTCCTTACAACCGTACCTTTACCCTCACCAAAATATCGCAAAGGTCATGCCATAAGCATAACCTGCTGTGATAACATTAAGTTCTTTGCTCCGCTTGTTATCATAAGCATTCCACAGCACCGACGTGTGTAGGTCGCCTGTTCATAAAGCTTATTAGCGAATGGGTTCTCTATACACAGTCCAGCAGGCAACCTTGAGCTACGAGGCAGGGAGTTGACACAGGGGCGGGGTGGTGGGGGGGGGGGGGAGGGTATGAAGGCATACAGATGTGGGGTTAGGGGCAGGGAAATATGCAAAAAATTGGAAATGGCAATTGCGTAGTGTACAGACAGTATGTCGGTGGTTCTTAGGCTTTAGATAGCCTCAGGCGAAATAGCCTAAGAACCACCGACATGATTAAAACATGAACCGATATGATGATATCTAAAATTTTGGAAAAAAGCTGGGAGCTCGGTACCGCCTTATTCTTACTGTTCGACACCATTTTCAACCCAGTGAAGAACATATCGCTTCAAAAAATAAGACTTTATGCGCGGCATATTGACAACCGCACGAGTACAGTATGCTTATTTTCAGCTATCGTTCATCTTGGCATACACTCACACTCAGCTTTATATTAAAGGATTGCGTCAGATATGCCTACTAGCGACCCTACGGGTCGCTAGCAAGTGGGTCAGGGCAGATACAATATTAAAGAGCTTAGCTGTGACTAAAAATATTTCTGAATAAGTTTTCTGTTCTTTTCCTGAGAACATTTTAGCGAAGAGGATTCTACAAAAGGAAAACTGCTCGAAGAAGCGATGATCTCCACAAATCATTCAGCATTTCTCGAAATTCCTGCTACAACCATGCATGATATTATTCTTATCTCGTTTACACGCTCTTTATGCAACTCCCCTCCTCACAGAGACATTCAGATACCCCCCCCCCCACTTTTCTACCCTCTCAAAGAGAATTTGCTCTTTCAGTTCTTCTCAACAAGTTCCATAAAAGATCGTTAAGTAAGTAGCAGAATATCTATCGTTTTGGAAGTAGAAATACACCATAAGAATTACTGTACTACAAAAAACACTTTTCTCTCAGAATCAATTCCGACAGCAACGAAATCAATCGTCTAAGAACTTTGTTGAAGAATCCTTATTTTTTCGCTGAAGGAATATGAAGCTTTACTACAAAAGGGAGCCACCCAAAGACCGTCAATCATAAGAACTTCACAAACGTACATGAAATTTCTTTCCCTGTCCGATCAAATTGCCCTACGTGCCGCTTGAAAACCGTTAAAAAATTAAGAGAACTGCCCCAAACATAAAAAATCTGTTTCCCTGCCGGATCGGGTTGCCCTACGTGCCGCTTACAGACCGATAGTAACTATGTAAAAAGAAAGTTTATTCCCTACGTGCCGCTTGAAGACCGTTTAAAAATTATAAGAACTGCCCCAAACATACAAAAATTTGTTTCCCTACCCGATCGGGCAGGGAAACAGATTTTTGTATGTTTGGGGCAGTTCTTGTAATTTTTAAACGGTCTTCAAGCGGCACGTAGGGCATGAACTGTCTTTTAGATAGATAATATTGGTTTGTATAAGCGGCACGTAGGGCAACCCGATCGGGCAGGGAAACAAATTTTTGTATGTTTGGGGCAGTTCTTATAATTTTTAAACGGTCTTCAAGCGGCACGTAGGGAATAAACTTTCTTTTTACATAGTTTACTATCGGTCTGTAAGCGGCACGTAGGGCAACCCGATCCGGCAGGGAAACAGATTTTTTTATGTTTGGGGCAGTTCTCTTAATTTTTTAACGGTTTTCAAGCGGCACGTAGGGCAATTTGATCGGACAGGGAAAGAAATTTCATGTACGTTTGTGAAGTTCTTATGATTGACGGTCTTTGGGTGGCTCCCTTTTGTAGTAAAGCTTCATATTCCTTCAGCGAAAAAATAAGGATTCTTCAACAAAGTTCTTAGACGATTGATTTCGTTGCTGTCGGAATTGATTCTGAGAGAAAAGTGTTTTTTGTAGTACAGTAATTCTTATGGTGTATTTCTACTTCCAAAACGATAGATATTCTGCTACTTACTTAACGATCTTTTATGGAACTTGTTGAGAAGAACTGAAAGAGCAAATTCTCTTTGAGAGGGTAGAAAAGTGGGGGGGGGGGTATCTGAATGTCTCTGTGAGGAGGGGAGTTGCATAAAGAGCGTGTAAACGAGATAAGAATAATATCATGCATGGTTGTAGCAGGAATTTCGAGAAATGCTGAATGATTTGTGGAGATCATCGCTTCTTCGAGCAGTTTTCCTTTTGTAGAATCCTCTTCGCTAAAATGTTCTCAGGAAAAGAA